GTTAATAATTAATTTTCATCGGTGTTACGTAGCACTACCCAGTATTTCTGGATCTGAACAATTACTAATAAGCACTCTTTCTTTAATGTCTATGTAGCTATGTCCTGTACAGATATGTACATAGCTACGGCACTTAGAAATTGCACAGGCAAACAAAACTGCTTAAAACTACATATAAAAAAAACATAAATACACATCTATATTGAGACGCTAATAAAAGATTACTTCCAATGGAGGTTTTTTGCCATCAGTAAAAAATGCGTCCTCCGTTTAAGAAAAATGAACATGGTATTAAACAAAACGGTAACAATTTTAACACTGTTCTAGTCCAATTAGGACTCTTAATCAAAAAATTCTTTTAGTGAAGATTGTCTCTGTGGTTTTGTTGCCATTCGTAGGAATGTATCTTCCATAGAAGAAAGGGAGCGCAGAAATTCCTTTTCTTTTGCACTTGTCTTGTCGAATGACAAAATCAAATTGCGAAGCCCTGTCACAGCCTCGCTAGCTTCGACCAAACTAAGTGGTTTTGGCTCCACTATAGAGATGTCTGCGTCTGAATCTCCTTCATCTTCTTCTTCCTCATGACTCATCGATTCCACGTTTTGGACTGCCTTCAGGGCTTCCCGTGTTACATCTTCCTCCGTCGGTTGGCTTTCGGTTACAACATTGTTATCAAGGGATACAAAGTGACTGAATGATATCTCTGCAAGAGAGGGAAAATGGTGGGTAATGTTTCCCCATAGACCGACACCAGTTTCATTGGTATCTTCATCTTCCTCGTCTGACTCAAAAGGATCGTGTGAGGGCTCCGCTACTTCACCTGGGAATCCTGCTTTTTTCCAGCAGTTTTTGATTGTCGTGGTGCTTACATTGTCCCAGGCTTTGGCCATCATAAAGACAGCATCCTTGAGGTCGATTTCTTTGACAGGTTTATTGTCATCTAAACACTGTAACATCCGCCTGATCATTGTCTTGCGATAATTTACCTTAAGGTTCTGGATTATGCCTTGGTCTGCCGGTTGAAGCTTGCTTGTGCAGTTAGGTGGAAAGAAGATGAGCTTTGTGTTTGTCAGGCCATTGACAATAACATGTGAAGTACAGTTATCTAAAAATAACAGAATATGGCGGTTTGCTACTCTCATTCGTCGGTCAATTTGACGGACCCATTTTTCAAACAAAACGCTGTCCATCCAGGCTTTTCTTTGAGACTCATAGGTCACGGGGAGCAAGTTCATGTTACTGTTCCTAAAACACCTGGGTCTGGCATATTTCCCTATCACAAGTAGGGGTAGCTTCTCTGTGCCATCCTGGTTGCAGGCCACAAGGACTGTCACGCGATCTTTACTTCTCTTACCACCGGTGCACTTTTCTCCTCTCAGGTTAAGCGTTTGAGTAGGGGTAGCTTTCCACATAAATCCTGTTTCGTCAGCATTGAAACGATCCTTCATGCTATAGCTGCGGCAAATATCCGGGAGACGCTCGCTCCAATTTTCGACAATATCAGGATCTACGCTTTTCTCTTCACCACATACAGCTTGGCCTGTAATTCCCTGTCTTTCCTTGAATTTTTCTAGAAAGCCATTACTTGCCTTGAAGTTCTCATACCCTAACTGTTGTGCAAAATACAGGGCTTTTTCTTGCAGCAGCGTTCCACTAACTGGGATGTTCATACCTCGAACCTTCCGAAACCATTCAGACAGTGCTTTGTCAAGATCTGGAAAAGTCGCCTGCTTCATCTTCTTTCGTTTGTCTGTGAAGAATCCTCCTTCATAGGCACTAATAATCTCA